AAGCGAATTTTGGGAATAATGAGGGCAACAAATGTATAGATGTGTTTTACACAATTGATCTATGTATTGTGATGAATTGTATGAGCCCCAATAAATTGATTAAAAAAAAAAAAAGTGACAAGCTAACATTTTCCTTCCATAAATACAACTAGCGACATAAGTAATGATGTTGCAAAGATATTTAAGGGCACAGTCTTAAAGTTCTGTGATTAGGCTATTTGGAACAATGTATCTATGTGTCAGTATGTCAAGTTCACCACACAAGGTCGACAGTTCCAACTTACCACACAAAGATGTGGCTGTCTAATTCAGTAAAGACTTACAGTTTGGGAAACTGTATTTTTACAGGGTGGCTATGTGTCAGAAAGGACTCCAGGGCAATGGATTTGTTATTGTTTGTTTTTTGTGTGCTTACAAACTTTTCCTTCAATTACCGAGTGCCTTCATTCCTTCCTGCTAGGATACAAATCTGTATTTAGTCAAACTAAGTAGCTGACGCTCCCTATTCTATTGACTTCCTTTTGGAAGCGGTGCTTTCACTCACCGAGGTCGAGTGGATTCTGACTCAAAATGAGGCCTTGTGTGTTTCCAAGGCTGCTGTCTTGGTCCCCAGGGGCAGCTGGTGGTTTCAAACTACTGACCTTGTGGTTAGCAGCCAAATGCGTAACCTGCGCTCACGTTCCCGATTTCCCTCCCGCTATCTGCCTGCGCCCTCTTAGTTGCTGACTTCTTCTCATCGCTCCAATTCTAAATGTTAAGGGTGGCCCAGCTCTAAGTTTCAGGCCCCCTGCTGCTGCTGTCTCTCCGGCTCCAAGATCTCCTTCAGGATCAGGGCTTTAAAAACAACCTAAGGTTTCTTTATACAGCTCACTACCAACGTCTACTGTCCCATTCTAACTTCCCTTCAAACTGGTCTATTCAGCTACCCAGCACACTTACAATTCCTTTCGGAAATTCAACGGGCGCCTTCCATTTCACCCTAAACAAAAACCCCACACTCACTGCCATGGAGTCAGTGCTGACTCCTAGCGACCTCCTGTGTGTTTCTGGGACTGCACCTGTGTAGGGAAGCAGGAAGCCCAGCATTCCCCCGCGGGGATGCCGTGGGTTCAAGCTGCCACCCCTGTGACCGCGCACAGCCCCACACTTCACCACTGTGCCACCAGGCTCCTCTCAAGTGCGCACATCCCCCTTTTATTGGAACTGGACCTTCAACTTCTTCTGTCCAAACACATCCCCTTCGTCTTCCCCAACAAATCCCTTACACGAACCTGCTTCCACTCAGGGGCAGGCCGCTAGACGCCTCTTCCTGCCCTGGCCCACGCGCGATGCCACGTGGACCAACGTGGAGCCGGGTCCCCACGGCACTCAGAGGGAGCCTTGCCAACCACCGGGCCACCCCTCACTTCTTTTCTCCTTTTTAAATGAAATGAAAAGCCTTCACCCGAGGGAGGCTCACACAGGACCTCCGGGCTCTCACCGGGCCTCCTCTCCCGGGCCCTCCCCACCTGCTCTAGGGCCCAAAGCGCCCACCCTCGCGCGGCCGGGCGCCGGCAACCCTCCAAGGTCCCTCGGGCGCCACGCTAGCCCTCCCGAGCCCGCGGGTCGGCGCG